TTTTTTGCTGAAAAAAATCATGTGTGCGCTACCATTTACCTATCTACAGCCCATATGAGTTGAAAAATCAAGCTGTATACACCCTCCAATTTTCAAGTAATAATCTATTGATATAACTTTTATTGACTTTTTTAAAACCTTCCCCGTAACTCAACCGATTTATTAGTGAAAACCGTATTAAAATAAGTAGATTTCTTTTCGAGATATGCTTGTACATACAAAAAAGGGGCAGGTTTCTCTATTATATTGTTACTGCTATATTTTATTATCAATGGACAATGATAGTACCTAGTACCTACTTATACTGACTATCTATATTTAATGGCCTATACAGGCGATACAGCCATAAGGACAGGACGGCTCCAGACGGAGCAGCTTACGTTCACACAGTGCGGCATTTGAAAAAAGTTTGTTCCACTACTAGGTAATTACTTAAAAAAAAAATTGTAAATTTAAAAAGGAAGTACTGATGCCGTGCGGATTTTCCGAAAATACGCCCACACACAAGCGGCATAGGCGAGCGGAACAAGCTCCGCGGCTTTCCTTTAATGTAGACCGCCTACTAGGCCGATAGGAAATTATGTCATCAAAAAATGAAGAGAAAAATGTATTTATGTATATTTACTCATGCTCCGTCTGGACGAGCAAGTCATATTATGAATATTATTGTTTTACTTTCTAAGCGGAGCAATGAATGTTTTGATTTTACTATGTGGTTTTTTTTCTGTTATCTATGTATAGGTACACGAATAATATACGATATAGGTACTATTATAATAGAAGACAAAATTATATGATTTTCAACTTCAGTATCTTTTCTGTTGGAAATGGTAGTTTTTTTAAATTCTCATAACTTTTAACTATAATATGAGGAAACAAATAAAATTAGGGAAGAGCGTGATGAAAAAATCTATTTCTTATTTTGTTGTAATTCAAAAACGAATAATAAATTGTAGATACTTCAATTTTTACCAAATGTTTATATTGAGATTTTCTATGCAATCATGATGGACAATGCATTCATTGCAATAATATAATTATAATAATAATACAGGACATGAAACCGATATTGGATACTGATTTTCAATACCGGTTATAATCACTAATAACCGAAATGAATATTAATACCTATATTATTATGTATTACTATATAGTAACTAAACATAATTTATATAAAGAGGACGTGATACCCGCATGTGTTGTCTCCGTCTTACAAGTGCGTAACATAAAAATTCTAAGCTCAGCAAAACACTTGTAGCTGTGTGCCTGTGTTAGTTTAAAAATTAGAGTAAATTAACTTCTTATAAAATCTAAAGGTAAGATTATTATCTAGACAACCTCATGGGCTTTTTATTATATTTTAATTTTTAAGCGAGCTATGAGTATTTTAAAATTGTAAATTGTTTATAGATCTTAAGCTACTCATAACTAGCTTAAAAATCAAAATATTAAAAAAAAAAGCCCACGAGGTTGTCTAGATCATTTTCCTTAAGATTTTATAAGAAGTTAATTTACTCTAATTTTTAAAATATCAGAGCTACAAGTGTTTTGCCGAGCATAAAATTCGCTATGTTATGCACTTGTAAGACGGAGACAACACATGCGGGTATCATACTATCATGTCATCTTAAGTGGATTCGATACCTTGATTTTCTGCTTTTGTCTAACACACACGCGACATAGGATTTTAGACTGGTTCTTTGCCAAACATAGTACATACCAATTGATGTAATTTAGCTATAAGAATTCTAAAAACAGATTTGAATTTTTCGTCTAGTCTACTTGAAATCGATTTTCACACCTTTCTGAATTTTTGATTTTAACTTCTCCAAATTTGAAATACGACAATTTTTAAATACTCTTTTCTATTATATCATTTTTAGGAATAGGGGGATAATATTAAACATGTGGGAAAGTCGATTTCAAGAAGACTTGACGATAAATTCAAATATGTTTTCAGATTTCTTATCGCTTCAATAGATTAATTGGAATGTTTGGCAAAAAATACGTCTAAAATACTATGTCGAGAGTGTGTTAGACAAAAACAGAAAATCACGGTATCGAATCCCCTTAAAATCAAATTAATTACAATTTGATATAATTTAAAAAAAATTACACCTGAAAGTGTAACCTGGTACCTATCTTCTCTATTAAAACAGGGTATATAACATCATCCAAACAACAATCGAGATATTATAGAACTTTTAAAGAAAATTTTTTTAATTTCGGATATAATAAATGATTTACTTAACTGTACATTAAAAAAACCAAACTTGTTCAAAGAATAATGTAAACAAATTCAAGGTGAAATTATTGTAATAGGGAAATAAGAACTGATTTTAAGTAAAATATTTATATAGGCATAGGTAACATGTTTAAAACAAATGTAAAAAAAATGTGTGTTCTATTGATGATTACAATTGAGGAATAATAAATGTAATGTATTCAGAATAACTATTAAATGTTAAGGGGCCTGCACGCGACCTGTTTTTTTGCTCAAAAACATGCCTTACAGGAAAAACTCTCACGCCTCGTAGATTGGTCCGATTTCCGTAATTTTTTTTTTTGTTAGATAGAGGAAGACTTCTTACAGGGCGCATTGGACTTGGATTTTCAACATTATTTTTCTAAGTCTTATGTTACAAGTTTGAATTTAATCAATTTTTACAACTTTTTAGTTTTTGTATTATTTTTGGTTTTTAGCGACGTAATCAAAAATCGAAGTCCAATGCGCCCTGTAAAAAATATTCCTCTATCTAACAAAAAAAAAATTACGGAAATCGGACCAATCTACGAGGTGTGAGAGTTTTTCCTGTAAACTGTGTTTTGACCGATATAATACACCCTATCAACCCCCCCTAAATAGGTATTGGGTAGTAGATTAGTGGAAAAGTCTTATAATTGAGGTGGCAACTAAAATATAAAATTTAATTTTCAAATTTTATAGAATTGCGGAAAATTTGAAAAATCGCGAGCAGGCCCCTTAAAGCAAAATGTTGGATAAAATTGTGTCGGTAGGTACAAAAAAATAATATATATATTTTCAGATATTTCAAAAAACAATAAAATATTTTCAAGAAGTAAGTTTAATATTTTTTTTAAATAAACAATATGCATTAAATGAATCACTAGCATTATGAGGAACAATAATATATAAAATTCAAATTGATATTTAAAAACAAAAACAAAATATTTAATCACAGAAATCTAACATATAAAATAATATTGAAGAAAATCAAACAAGCAAGATTCAAGTATTTATCTTAATCAAAAATAAGAGAACAAACTGAATAGATAATATAAATTAAATAAACAAAGTTTCAAATGAGGAAGTAAAGAAAAAGTCTATATTTATTACTATAATCTTCAATCTGAGAATAAATCTCTAAGGTCTTTCAAAACAAACTACCTATATCTTGTAAACATAATAAAGAAGGTAAAATTTAGAACTAATTAAAGAAGATACGTAAAACTAGGTATGGATCTTGGAGTCAATCAGAAAACGTTTAACTTTGAGGCCAGTGTGGCACTCGCTGGCTTAATTTGTTTGTATTTAAAATATAATTTTGTTTAAGGCATTTGTATGATAAAACTGCATATAATCATAATTTTACACACTAGCCTGTATTAGGTAGTCTTTAAATTCATAAATATAATTGAAGAGCAGATCAAATATTAATTTACTTTTAAGTATTTATTAGCAAAAAATGGTAATAATTATTGCTTGGCCTATTCTAAACTTTGTAATTTAATAAAGGTATCAGGGTATCTATAATAAAACAAAATTGTCTATATATTTCTTGATTTCATACAAAATTATATTTCCTAAACAAGTCGAAAGACTACAATTCTTAACTGCTTAATGCAAACAATGCAATAAGACTTAAATAAACACCGAATTTCAGAATGTATATGATTTCAAGGAAATATTAAAAATTATTCATTTTATAACATCATTATTTTATACCTATACCATACCTGCGTTTTATAGGAATAAATTCATATCAAAGAATAAATGACCATAATATTATAACACAAAGGCAAAGTCTCTCTAAATGTTACATGATAATCATTAATCGCATATGCATAAATTGTTATTTTACCACTAGAAAAATAGGTACACATTTTAAAGTTATAATGTATTAAATATTATATTTTAGACTTCTAGTGATGGTTATTCACCCCAAGTTTTTTGTTCAAAAATAAATATTAAAAAATTATGCAAAAGGTAAACATTTTATTACATCTAAATACTAAATTTACTGTTACAAATTATAAACTTACATTAATTTATGTTTAATATTTAACTTAACCAAAATTTCAAATATATTTTAATAGGTATTTATTATTTATACAAAAAAAAAATGGAAGCTTCAAAATAATGTCATAATTTATTACTATAATAAGCCTTTGCTCCCCCCCTTCATAAGTAATACTACACGATGACAGCATATTTTTAGTCACCAAAAACTCCTATGCTATGGCTTATCTGTGTATTTTAAAACAATGATTATACCTAACTGATTCTGTACTTGGAAATCTGTTTTTAATACAAAACACTAAAAATCATATTATAAATAATAAATTATTAGTTATTGACAAGACCCTAGTATAAGAAATATTATGATGTATGCTCTTCAATGATACAAAGCGAATATTCACAAAGTGAAAAGCGCTTATTTTTTAATGAGGTATTAAATGGAACAAATAATAAACTCAAGCTATATTTATTATATTTCATCTCACACAATGAAATATACACAAAAACACAAGACTACAGATCATGACGTGCATAATTCTTGTTCTTTATACTATATTTAACTCATTCAATATAGTAAATGATTTGTTTATAAATTATGTTTGATAGATTGGATAATAGGACATGGTAAAATCTTGATAGTAAATTCAATAAATTAAAAAAAGTTTTTTTTATTAAAAAGGCACTTTTACACTTGCCAATAACTAACAAGTGTAAATCGAAAGTCAAATTTAGTTGATTATTAATGCCTTTTTTTTGATAGTTTTTGAAATGCAGGTAGGCTTGCTAATGGCATTTTCATAGTATACTTGGTTGGATCATCTTTCAATAGTGATGCCCCTACTACCTTCATCAGCAATGTCAATCTAAAATAATTTAAACTATGGTTAATAAAAAAAATCATTAAACGATACACAAAAAATCTGTAAATAAGTGGAAATAACACTGGCCTTTGTTGTATCTGTCTTACAAGTCTGTACCATAGCAAATTCACACTCAGCAGATCACGTTTAGCTTCGTTAGTTTAAAAATTAGAGTCATGGGCGCCACTTGGGCAATTTTTATGGGAGGGCAAACTTTATTTTATCTCTATATACCGCATACTTAAATATATTTGAGACTAATTATACTTAATCAGTGGAAACTGAAAAGCATAACATAATAATATTATTATCTAAGCTAAATATTTATTGTAGTATGTAAAATTAAATGACATTATGGAAAGTCTGATAAGATTCTAGTTTATTTAATAAAAACATCCTGCATTTCTATATTTTCCTATTACTTTATATTTGCATAAAACGGAATTTATTTAAACTTTTTTCAAATAAATAGTATAAAATATAAATTTGGAATAACACTGAAAAATATACTTGGAGTTCAGATGATGCATATTGTGTGACGGCCGGCGGCCGTATGGCAGTCATGTTAATTATAGCTTATACAAATAATAACTAGTCATACACACAAATTTAACATAATAAAAAAGTACCTTGAATTGTACAAAAAAGATACTAGAATAGTGTAGTATATACTAAATAGACAAATAGTATTATAGTAATATTTTAATGTAGTAATTCTATAACACTATGCTAGTATGCTCAAAGCTCAAACAGTCAAACACAATGATGAATAGTGAAGAACTGAAGAGTAATACAAAATAAAAAGAATGTGTCGTGTCACATTGTTATCATTTGAAGTTCTCAATTAAACGTTATCACGAATAGGAAAACAGGCTTTCATTTTACCCTAGAATCTAGGCCTAGATCATATACTATGGATGGAGCTTAAGTATATGATTTTGTTGATGATATAGCGACGAGTCACCGAATTCGGTGATCAATGCAACTCTTCGCATAACAATCCATAGGTGTAATAGGTATTTGTGGATAAAATATGCGAGAAATCGCGTTGAGCATGTGTAAATCGACTACCTAATTCGGTGACTTGTCGCTATATCTGCAAAGTTTTTTTGTACTGATTTAATACGCTGTGTCTCCATAGATAGTATATGATCTAAGCATTTGACCCTTAGATCATTATACTATGGATGGATCTACAGCATATTATAGCAATACAAAAAAACTTTGCCAATATCAACGACGAGTCGTCGAATTAGATATTTGATATGCGCATGCGCGACACAACTTCTTGCATATTTATCCACAGATAATTTATTATCAAATCAGCATATTATGTTTAAATATAATATTTTATTGAAAAAATAGTATAATACTTACTATAATAACATAATAATTACTATAATAATATAATTAACCACAAACTATGATTTAGAATGATTCAGTGTTAGTAACTTATGGATTACTATGCGAAGAGTTGCATTACGCATGTGCACATCGATCACCTAATTCGGAGACTAATATCGGCAATAAAATAATACGCAGTAACTCCATCCATAGTATATGAACTAAGATTTAACCAAATTTTTTCGGAACACAGCAGGCTGCAGTTTGCTGTTTGATTTTGTTTTTACTCATTATCATAAAATTATTGTCATGATGTATTACGATGGCATATCACATATCGCATATGACAAATGGCAATGAATAAATACATTTTGATTAATCAATTCATTATTTTTTCTATAGTTAATCTTTATAAAATATTATATTTTTCAGTTGTCTTGAAAAAATAATTTATACAAATCTAAAATAGCTTTTTAATAATATTTTTCAAATTAATTTACAAAATACCAAGGGGGACAATGCCCCCTGTTAAATTTTTTGAGTTACATTAAAGGTGCAGTTGCCCTAAGTTTAAGCAAATGATTCTAGTGAATAAACATATTGTAAAACTTGTTGGTAAGAACTAAGAACATTATCTGTGTTCAAATGTAGGTTTTTTTAAGATAGTTTAATTTTATTTATACTATAGCGTAAATTAAAAATGCTCATAACTCACTTATAAGTTATAACTGAATTATTGTAAAAAACCTGATGGAAATAAACACAGATAATGTTCTTACCATCAAGTTTTATAAGATGTTGATTCACTCTAATTTTTAAACTAACAAAGCTAAATGTGATCTGTTAAACGTAAATTTGCTATGTTACACACTTGTAAGACTAAGACAAAAAATCCCAGTGTTATTTCCTCATGTGTAACAAAATATTATCTTAAATAAATAGTTTAATTGAAAACATTAAAAATAAATAGTTATCATATATTTCACCTGGAAAGACACATGGTCATAATTATATTATAATGTCAAATTACCTCTTTTGACTACTTGATGGAAGAAATGAAGATATACAAGTTAAGTCAAATGTATACATGTTGATTAACATCATAATTATAATTATATGACATACAGCTTTATCCTTCATCTTAGATGTTAAATCTCTAGAAAATTAAAATATATACATATAAATATAAATGTATTAATTATTTTTCTAATAACTTTTTACCGTCCGGTCACAGTGTATTCAACAAAATTATCCAACACTTTATCATTTATTACTTCAGAATTTGGGTAAATTTCAATGTTTCTAGCATTTAATTCATGCGATTTTAATCGCAACAATTCAATCAGTCCATCAGCAAAGGTAAGTAGGCAGATATTTTGAATCGTTTTATGAGGTAGTTTGTTCAAATTTGTTATGAAAAATTTTGATAAACTGTAAACAAAATACATTATTTAAAATAATAGACCAAAGCTACAAAAATTTACTTAGGTGGTAATAAACACAAAACTAAAACATGCATTAAAATAAAAATTTATTTTATTTTTAAGTCCATATAAAACTCCTTTACCAGCTATTTGTCAATAACTAAACCTGAAATATTATTTAAACAAAAGGTTCTCAAGCTATGATCAAGAGTCACATGTACAGATCAATAACAATTCATTAATGACAAACAAATGATCAGTAGTATAGTTAATATTATAGTCCATGAAAAAAAAAAAAATTGAAAACATCTGATCTATAATATACTTCTCATTCAACTTGAAATATAAAAATAACATAAATTTAAAATATACATCATCATTTTAATAATTAACCATTAAAAAATGTTTGAATAATATTTAAAGAATATGGTACATAACCTTGGATTACAATTTTAATTCTTATACAATTATTTAAATTAATTTCCTTGAATTTTAATGGTTAATTTAATTTTTGTAGTAACTTACTCTTCATTGTCAGAAGAAATCGGTAACATGCTTATCACTTCTTTTGCATAATCGGTCATTAAATCTATTTCATTTTCAAGCAGCAATGTACTAACTGGATAAACTGTTTCCAATTTATTAGAGTAACGGTTACATCCCGGTGGTAAATATACTAAATATTCACTAGTCTGAGAAAATGATGATTGCAATGCATCAGCTATAAAAGAAAAAAATAACAAAATGACATACTGAATATGTATTTATAGAAATCTATACACATACAAGAACAAGAAATATTATTGAAGACGTCTGCTGGAACAGTTACAACATTGTTAACCCTAGACTTTGAAATACGTGATGACTTTTTAGTTCCAAATACTAAGTTAAACTCTTCATTTTTATTAGTCAATGACTGGTCTTCAAACGTTTTCATTTTAAAGTAGTCTGGTTTTTTAAGATAAGTAACTTTGGCACCATAAACTGAAACCTACATAACATAATAAAACTCATGTTTTTATAGGTACTTGTTGCAATTAACAATTAAATTTAAACAAATAGGTAAACAGATTGAATACCTACCAAATAGATAACATTTTTTAAACTAATAACTTAGGCATGTATACCTAACTAAGCCCACCTTATTTGTTCTTTTATTCCTCAAAATTAAGTATTTGTTTCCGGTTTCCTTTCTACTAGGATCTTCTTCTTCAACTGTACCACCGTGTTGGTTGAATATTTTTAATACAGGTCTATTAGATGTATTCTCAATTGCCATGCCACAATCTAAAAATGTTGATGAATTCAGAAAACCCACTTCTGTAATAGCTAGAAAATAAAACACAAATCTGTCAACATATAACTCGACATTTCATTAGATTCTGACATGTGGAGGAAATCTGTATAGTTGGATAATATTTATTGTACATGTGTACGATATAGACAATTTGAACTATAGTTTTATAGAATTATGATTTAATAGCGTGCAGTGGAAATCTGTAGATTCGGAATTCGGAAAAGACTCACCGATAACTGGTGGTACGGTGGGCTCCGCGTAAACCTTTTCCACGATGCCATCCATGGTGCAGAGGAGTGATTGCAATTTCCGCAAGCTGATGAAATGTACGAGAACAACTAATTGCAGACCATGTGTTTCAAATGCGAATGTCTAAAATATTATTATAATTCACAATTGTCAACACAAAAGCAGGACAGATTCAAAGATCACTCTCAAACATTGCTGTATCGTAATTCGTGACCAATGTGATGTGTGAATAATATGCCGCCCGGCCTGTCGTCTTATCATTGTTTACGAACTCGTATCATCTACCGTGAAGAGATAATGGACCTTATCAGTTGTGATCGGAAAATCAAGCTGACATTGGGATATTGATCACGGCTTTAGATAGAGCTTCTATCTAAAGCCGTGATATTGATATACAACAATATTGTTGTTGTCGTCGTTCTCGTATTACGGTTTTGGCTGCAATATAATAAATTAGACTGCGGTATTCGTAAACTGTCTGGCTGTTGTAAGTGGATCGTTTTTTCGTGCATTTGGACCAATAAGCGGAAGAAACAATCACCCAGTTCCAAAAGCCCTATTTTAATTTTGAAAACATGTTTGAATTCCTTATTCTCTTTTCTGAGTTATGTAGGAAACGGATTTTCGTATCTTTTTTTTTAGTAAAACTTGAGTAAAGGTGATTTTTAAAAAAAAATAAAAATTAATTTTGTATTACACTAATATTAAACAATACAAAAATTCGAAAATTCGCTTCCTACATAGGTAACCTAGAAAAAAGAATAAGGAATCCAAATATTTTCAATATTAAAATTGGGCTTTTGGTGCTGCGTGAATTTTTATTCCGTTTTTTGGGACTTTTATGCAGTGTTTGGAAAGAACAAGTTCCAAAAGGAATGGATTTCTGGAACGAATTCCTTTTTAAAGAACGCCATGTTAAACAAATTCATTTTTATTCAAGGAAAAATAACAAAATTGTTCGTTCCTTTCTAGTTTCAATAATTTACACAGATATGTAAGCAATTGAAATTAAGATATATATTTTTTAATGTGTATAATGTATATTGCCAATTGGTGATAGTTTTTGAGTATCGACGTTAAGCGTTACTCATTAGTCAATACGTTGGCCAACAATTTAATTTTGAAGAAAATCTCAAATTAGAATTATAAAATATGTACCTACTTGTAGGTTTACATTATAATTAAAAATTAAAGAAGTATGCCTATGAAAAAAAAAAACATTAATGATTAAATAAGAATTTTCATTTTATTTGGAACTAAAAAAGGAACTCGTTCATTTTCCAAAGGAACAAATTCTTTTTTTTTTAAAGATTGAGGAGTGAAACAAATTCCTTTTTATAAGGAACTAACTTGCCAAACACTGCTTTTGATGAAAATATTTGGATTGCAAAATGTAGTGATTTGTGACTGTGCATATTTACGTTACTGATTTTCAAGAATTTTAGCCATACTTTATCTTTAATTACATAAAGCGTTCTGGGAACTATGATCCTCAGTGATCTTACAATTTTACAATTTTTTATATCCAACTGGCAATAGCATCATAAGGTGGTAGAAGGGGCAATAATGCAATATTGTATTACTGTAGCTCCACCAAAACCTCTGTCCACTTGTGTGGCCACTAAGACATTATTACACACAAATCTGCTTGGAAAAATGCAGAATCTTATATTACAATATTATACCACATTATTAACTGATGAAAAATGATTTTGTTTATGTACTTATTTCAAGCACCTATTCAAAATTACCCCATATATTGAAAAGAAAAGGCTGCAAAAAATATTATAAGAGCTCTAAATACCTAGTCTTGTTTTTTAGTCGATTAAAGTTGACGAAAGACAACTGTGTATTTAAAATTGCTTAATAGTATAGTGTACAAATAAAACATTAATTGTACCTGTTAATATACAATTTAATAATCTGATTTATAGAAAAGAATACTGATAGTTATACATTTGAAACTTAATATTTTTCACTTTTCAGATATTACTGCTACCCACAGCAACAGGCTACAGTATATTTTTTTCTCAAAATTGTTTTTTATGAACCTAATAAAATAAACAGAGCATTATTTCTGTGAAAAATGTTAACAAAATCCTCAGTACAGTTTAATTATTTGAAGGGTTAAGGGGAAAAACGATCATATTCAAAAGAAAAAAAAATCTAATAATTATAGTACTTTTTGGTTAATTTCATAACGAATCAACACTTGAATCTTGTTATGGAAAAATATCACGGTCAATGATATAATACAGGTTTAAATATTACCATAACGGGAAAAAAAGACCAGAGTCTCACTTTAAAACTGTAATATTGAACATTTTAGGAATATTGACTATTATCGTTTTTCCCCGTAACCCTTCATTTAGTATTCACATAGATTTCTATTGTAGTATAATAGGTAGTAAATTGTATGTGAATGACTTCAACTACGTTTGAGAAATTAATAATACTTGTTTAAAGAACACCACCGTCACCACTTAGAAACCAATTTTCTTGGAGAAATAATAATTACTATTTACTATATTAAAGTAAAAATATTAATGGAAAACTTCATTTTTAAAAAATGTTCCACCTGATGGTATTTTTTTAATTGGAGAATCAACTCCAAAAAAATAAATATTTCAAGTACAAACTTGTAATATTAATGTTAATATGAGTATAAAACATATACTTACAGAATGTCATACATACAAATGACGACGAATACAGGAAAAAGATAATCTCTCAGAATATAATATTTTCTCCATATCACTTAGCAACAGTTCTACAAAGTCAATAGTCAAATTCATCGTCTCCTCAAAATGAACAAATAAATTATAAAACTAATCAATGTATACGCCTAATAGTCTCTCTATGTAAACTTATGTAATGTAAATAGTATATGTTTTTTTAAATCACAATGATACTTATTACGGCAGAGGGTTAATTATAAATAATAATAAAAATGCTTAAATCATTTATAAAACATTATTAGAACATTCACAAATAAAAATAATTTATATGTTTATGAGTTTATCCATTATTATGTTATAAAATTGTAATTATAGTGTATCACTCTGATTCCTGAGCACTAATAACATATGCTATAATCTGACTTTGGAACATTTTTCTCTTTTCTTTAGGTAAATCTTTCATCAATGCTACTAAGTATTTTCCAAAAGCAACATCAGCAGGATCAATTGGATCCTCATTTAGTTCTGTAGGGCTTGGAATTTTATTCTCATTTAGCAAGTGTCTTCGGAAGTTATGGTCATTTTCTAGGAAGATAAAAGTGTAATTACTTGACTTTATAGGTACATTTTTGACTAATATTTATAATAATAATTCTTCGCCTAAGAACCATCATGGCCAATCTCAGTTTTCCCAACTTTTCAGGGTAAACAAAAAATTGTTTTTTTGTTAGGAATTTTGAATGTTGGTATACCTTTCGACATTAATTAACTCTAAAACGTTTCATATTATTGTCAATAATAATAATAATATTAGAAATACTAATTTCCTCGAGTTGTTGGCTGCTGACGGCTCTCTATTATTAGTACCAGTTCCAATATTTTTAAATTGGCCATGATATCACTGATGAAAATTTTAGATAGGCCATGTTGACATTTGGAATTTTCATGGCGAATTGATATATTAAGCGCATATTTGAATTTTTGAGATTGACCATTATGGTTCTTAGGCGATAATATACACCATACAGTGACGCCGAAGTCCATGCTGACGTTTTTTACGAATTTTTGAAAAATGTGGCCGGCCGGCCATATTTAATTTACATCATAACTTTATTATAAGCATGAGTAAATTTAAACCGTGATTATGAATAAATTTATATTAGGGTACTTCTATATTAAATAATTAAGATATTGAGGCCGGGAAGATTTAAAATTGCCCGACCACATTTTAAAAACTTCGGCGCCACTGACACCATATACGTGTAAAAGTTCCTCGCTTCACACAATGATTTACTAACATATAAAATCAGACACTTATACTTAAACTAAATTTCAAAAATAAAATGTTTAGATTGGTAAATCGTTATATGAAGAGAGGAACTTTACACATATAAGACAGGCAATTACGATGAGCCGGGCCCAATGACATCCTGCGGCTATTCTATATTTCTTGATATCTCTTAAGAGGATGTCAGCGCACTATTTGTTTTCTCTTACTGACCCATACGCAACATAGACAAAACGCATTTGAGCAGAATTATTTTTTCTATGGTTTTAAGTAATCTTAGAGTAAAATCACAAAATACAAAAAAGATAGAGAATACAATTTTTGAGGGAATGACATCGATTTGTCTAAATATTGTTTCAAAACAATTTAAACATATTTAAATTTACAACATTTTTTGTTTATTTTGAAAGGCAAATAACAATAAAATATAAAATCGATATGTCATTCCCTCTAAAATATTATTCTCTATACTTTTTGAAATGAGTGATTTTACTCTGAGATTACTTAAAAATATATAACAAAAATGATTCTGCATAAATGCATTTTGCCTTTGCTGCACGTGGGCCAGAGAGAGAAAACAAATGGTGCGCTGACATCCTCTTAAAGTAATCAATTTTTTTACATCGGATTTTCACCAAATCATTTAATATAGTTATAGCTACAATAATTTAACATTTAAAAAATTTAAAGGAAATTTTTTTTATGGTGTGCTTTTTTTGGTACTTTAAAAAATAAAACTAATAGATGCCATCCACAAAAATACAAAATAAATATTTTAACCATACTACATCAAATATGCATACTTTCTTTTATTTTTTGCTCTTTAGCAGTAGTTAAACTTTGAGGAGAGTCGTCAGAATAGTTGTCTAAATTTGAATCTAAAATACTAGTTGTCCTAAAGATATTTGGATAAAAAAATTTAAAATCATTAGTTATTATTTATAGGTTTCAAGAAAGAGAATAGTTACTTTTTGTAATGATAATGTGTTAGAACTTCTTCCAAGAATGACAGTTGAGCATAATGCAACCATTTTTTTTTAATACCTCTTTTATTTTTCCCACTTTTTATTTGTTGTTGTCTTACACGTACATACTTCTCTTTTAGATATTTCCATTTTTTTTTTAATTCATTTATAGTAAATTCACCTTTAACAATACAAACAATTAACCTGTTATATACAGTTAATAGTTATATTATAAATTGTCTAATATTAATATAATATATGAATATAAATTAATTTTTATACATTTATTAATTTTTTATAAAAGTATATTAAAATTGTAGTATTTATCCTTACCTTGTAGTTCAGTATATACTTCCTTCCATAGTTTGTTTTTAACTAATTCAGACCTTTCGGATGAAGATATTTTATGATCAAACAATGGACGACGAACCTTAATAGCACTTATTAAACATGAAGTTGAATTGAAATCATTTACTTTATTAACTCCATCATCATCACTTGATAATACTTTATTTTTAGTGGACTTGGCCGGTAAAATTTTTCTAAATTTTTCTAACAAAAAAAAAATACTGTAGGTATTTAAAAATAATAAAAAATAAAAGTAATATTATTTTAAAATGTTCATTGTATTATTAATATCTCAGTGATTGGTTTAAAAGCTTATTTTCATAATACTATTGTTTAGTGATGAATTGTAGTAGTATCATATTATAGTTAAGTTAAGCGTCAATTACACTGAACGAATTTACTAGCTAGTCGTTGGCGAATAAAGTTACGGGTGCGTGAGCGTGTAGCGACCTGTCCAATTAAATTCACTCACTCGCCTAGTTACGCACACGCAGTTCATTATGGCGATTTTTCCAGCTAAGGTGATTACATTGAGCAATTTTAGTTGAGCGAGTTAATTCGCCAGCGGTTAGCAAGTAAATTCGCTCAGTGTAATCGACGCTTTAAGGTTGAATGTACAATATACCTATGGTCATTGACTACATATATTTAAATTTTATATTTAATCAATGCTATAGTTTGCATTTATTAAAATTAGGATGACCAAACAAAGACCCTATAACAAAGCATATGACAATATACTGCCTTCCCTAGAATCTACCACTATACAATTTGAAACAATTTTATGATTTTAAGTTAATAATAATATTATTACTAGGATCCTCAGTAGCAGTAGCCACAGGCACACATTGATGAACAGTTTTACAAGGATAATAGAGCAAACACTTCTCACATTTTTCAACCTGAAATAAATAGCATAACATGAAGGTAGGTAATATAATATATAGGTTAGGAATAGATAATATTATACCTAACAAATTTTTAAATTATTAGGGTATTCAAAACAAGAAAAATTAGGTAATAGTAATAGTTACCTGTACCCGTGTAAATGGCGCCATTTTATATACCTATTGTATTATTTTGTACAAATATTTTGCATATTGTGTAACTATTAGGTATACTGCAATAATACTTATGCACAATGTAAGTAAGTAAAAAAAATCATTAAGTATGTAATATTTAATGCAATAATACTAAAAAAAAATCTAAAAATGAAGTTTGAATTTCATCATGAACCAATAATTCAACCTCAGCAACCACACGGAGCACGGAGGAAAATTAAATAAAATCCGATTTGTTGCCCGGTGTTATCATTTGTTAAGAGAACACCACACGGATATTTGTTGTCTCCGTCTTACAAGTGCGTAACATTGCAAATTTACGCTCAGCAGATCACGTTTGGCTCCGTTAATTTAAAAATTAGAGTGAATCGACCTATTATGAAACTTGATGGTAAAGACATTATCTGTATTCGTATGTTGGTTTTTTACGATTATTCAGTTTTAAGGTGAGCTATGAGCATTTTTATTTACACTATATTATATACACATACTTGCTGAAACAATCGAAGTATCGTAAAAAATCAACACACGAACACAGATAATGTCTTTACCATCAAGTTTCATAATAGGTCGATTCACTCTAATTTTTAAGTTAACGGAGCTAAACGTGATCTGCTGAACGTAAATTAGCCATGTTACGCACTTGTAAGACGGAGACAACAAATATCCATACACGGTACAACCACAGAACAACCATAAGAACATGGGAAACGTATGATAACGGAGAAAGTCAGACGGTCCGTTTGTAAACAGTATAGTAAACGCCATGACCACAGAACAATGCTCGAGCCAGCATTTTTGGTCTGTTTAGTTTGAATAACCAAAACCTTGGTTGAGTTTGTTTATTTGGTAATCCGTGTACTATCACGGAGCCGGGAGGACCAATTGATAACTCTATAACCAATTATTGTTTATCTATGCGGCAATGTCCTATATTATTATGGCCTGTATGCCGAGCGCTTACGAATTTACAACCACACGTTAGCGTTCGTATTGTAAAATCACAGTTGAAACACAGAATAATAATATTATTAATTTATTTCTTTTACTGTGGTAAAACGTTGGCACGATGTACATCCATATTGTAGTCCGTGGTTCGTACATGAATGATTATTAATTTTATTATCAAAATGGAGGATACCAACATTCTTGTACCACACTACCGTGGTACGTCGGAGTTTTCTTATCGAACTTCTCTGATAATGAGCGTGCCGTACTGCCGTCTGCCATAGTGCCGTAAACTAAACCTAGCTAATAAAGAAGTGTTCGACTCGGGACTACGTTTACTGTTTGCCGTTTGGTTGTTTAAGACGAATGACGATTAGTGTTTGGAGTTTGTTCTTTACTGTTCAGTGTTGACCACGATTAAAGATATAATTTAATGTATGTATTTAACTTACAACTTAGTACTCGGTACTAACGCTGTCGCTTGTTTGCCGCCGCAAATCGACTAAACCGATCGAAACTAGAGTTAAAATTGTTGGACTTAATTCTAATGCGACTTTCGAAACAATACTGCTCCACATAACACGCGCTGCGGTGTGACATAATTTACGTAATTGACAGTCCTAGACGACTTTTTGATTAATTTTTAACTTGTGTTGACTTGGGTAGGTGAGGCGTTGAAATTGTTTTCAACTTCTTCATAATATGTTCATAGGAAATAGTTACTACCTAGTGTTTAAAATATGTCACTTGACACGCATACTGATTTGAGACTTCACGAAATATAGATCCATTCGCTTGAAATTAGACCTTTAAAAAATTGTCTTGATTTAATCGTGTTTGTGGTGGTTATGTGGTCGGATCCATCAACAACAAACATGGCTTATGGAAACCAATGGATGAATATGAATCCCGCTATGTATAAAAACATGACAAATGAACAAGGTACATATACACGGTAAAACTTATGTTGTAAAGATTATATTTAAGACAAATTTACATCTTCTAGTGGACTGGGCGAGTTTAGCTCAACAATGGATCAAAATGAAAGAAACTCCACCCTCAATGCCCCCTGGACAACAAGTTAGGATCCCGACTTCTGAACATACTCTGCCCGGTCAGCATGTAGAACCACAGAATCCTTCAAATGTAGCAGCAATAGCAACAAATAAAACATTTAGTGATCATAATATCGCCAGTCCAGTTACACGTGTGTATATTACCAATAACTAGTGTGAAAATCTTCTGAAAACATTTTTTTCCAGGAAATAATATTGAAAAACCTAGTGCTTGGAATACGTGGACTTGGCAGCAACAACAACAATGGAATTGGAATTGGGCATCTTCTTCAACAGCTCTACCAACTAAAGCACCTATTATGGAGTCAGTTAATCCACTTAGACCCCCTTTCATAACACCTCTATTATCAGAACCACCTCCATCTTTCCCTATGATGACACCAAACAAACCATTTCTACCCAATGTAAGTTTTATGATATAAATTATATAAATTATTTTATTTATTTATTATTGTTTTTAGAATTATTGGGCTGGGCCCAATACTAGAGTTCCGCCACCTACTGAACCAGATCAATGGAGCAAACTTAATATGATTCCTAATGTGGATGATAGAACTCAAGATCCATCATTTATGGGTAGGTGTGAATTTGTAGTATTCTCAGTGTTGGTACTTTTTATACATAAAACATTATATAAGTTAGTATGTTACACGTCATAATATGAACTGCATATAAAATGTATAAAACTTTATACCTAATACAACATACCTACATAAATATTTTTTTCTTGGAAATTCATAGTTATTCAATATTCATTAAGCATTATGTTGATTTAGGTTTTTTAACTAATATCCATCCATTTTGTTTATAACTTTTTTATGTAAAATGTTCCTAATAGCCTATTGTATTTGTATTTTTAATTCTGTATCAAGGCCTGTTTAAAGCAGATCTGTTTTTCGTGCCTTTAGACTGATAAGTGAAAGAAAAATTCACCCAGTACCAAAAGCCCAATTTCAATTTTGAAAACATATTTGAATTCCTTATTCTCTTTTCTAGGTTATGAAGGAAATGGATTTTCGATTCTTTTTTTTTTTTGTAACACAAAAATAAAGATAAATTAAAAAAAAAAATTTGTACATTACTAAGGCCGGGTTGCATAAACGTTCTGTAACGACTTACAAATCTGTAAGTGCGTTAACGGCTCTGTAAATAAAATTAGGTGTTTCAGACCTGTAAACTGCATATAAGATTTTGTATCTGTAACTACTTACAGATCGGTTAAAATATAATATTATTATAATGATAAAAAAAGGATTTTTTTATTTGGTGTTAAGGCGGGAAAGGATTTGTATGCACGTGAACTCGTTTGTGTATAGTAAACCCGCCTTTATCAAAAATTATGGTTTAATTTATTTGATAACCACGGTTTTCAATAATTTAATATTTCATTATGCAACAATAGCATAGTTTACACAATCATTAAAACCTTACAGCTTACAGGGCCGGTTACAAATGTACAGACTGCTCTTTGTGTAACACGGCCTAATTAAACCATACAAAAAATTTAAACCATTTCCTACAAAACCTATAACTCACGATGGATATAGAATATTGCCTAAAAAGATTTGCTTTCAGACCCTTAAGCTATTGAAGTGTTTACTACTTACATATATTTCAGTTCAACTTGAAAATACTTTTTAAAAAAAGAATAGTAAATTAGCCACTACATTGTAAAAAATGGTATATTATAACATTTCTGTGGTTATCCTTTGTCAATATCAATTATTATACCTGGTAACTACTGTTCAGTGCAGTAATAATAAAAAATACTCTTATTCGTACATACTAAACGTATAATACTAGTTTTATACTTTACTGTATTATAATATGTTTTAACCCTGGATTTATTCTACTCCTAAATTATCAGCAAAATAAAATCTTGTTTTTGTATGTTGTAATAATATTTTATATTTATATTTTATCAGATGCGGCAAAGCGAAAGCAATTACCTGCTTGGATTCGTGAGGGACTTGAAAAAATGGAGAGAGAAAAACGAAGAAAAATGGAGCAAGAACAATCTTTTAGTGAACCTGATTATTCTAGTTTCACAATTGAAAATGTCACTCAGGAATTGCCCAATGTATATATTTTATTTATATAATTTTTTATCAATTCTTTTTCAAATTTTTTAATATTATAAAAATGTTTCAATAACTATTCTTTTCATAGTCGCCTATTAATTTTGATCAAGAAACTGAAATGGTTGATGATGATGATATTGAACCAGTGTCTTCTGATTACATAAATGATACTGAACCCAGAAAAACTGAGTTTGTGAATAATGATCCTTCTCCCCTCATTCCACATAAGACTAAAGCTCAAATCTGGGAAGATACGGTAATACAGTTTTTAACATTTACTTGTGTTTACAACAAATAAAAATAATTAAGTGTTCTATTGTTTCTGATATTTGTATTTTAAAATATTTATAATCGTAATTGTGTTTGAATTGAATGATTTCAGATGTTAAGTCTACGGAAAATTCTAACAAAATTGTTAATGGATGTTACTAATGATATGATGTTAAATATAGTTAAAGATGTGCTGAAATCTACTTTACAATCAGGTAATATTTATTAATAATTATAACTCTTCACAAACTAGTTCGATAGCGTAAGTAAATTAGTGATAAAATGTAAGAAAAAGAAAGTTATTTATTTTATATTTTTAATTTATTTTTAAAATGTATTATTATCAAAATTACAATATGCCATGTAACAGATATTCAAGGGAATCAAAACCAAACATCATTAGCTGGTAAGCTGGGTAAGTTTTTGAAATTATTATATAACAATAATATACAATTCATTAATATGGTTATTCCATTACTTGAATTTGAGTTAGAATTTACATAGTGTGAAGCTATAGACAATCATCTATAAATCAAATAAATAATGTATAACATCATCTACAAATAATTTTTTTTTTATTAGCTTGAAATAAATAATAATTTTTTCTAAAGGGCTTGGAGTTTATGGTTCAGAATCTGGGTCATCTGATGAAACTGATGAAGAACTGAACTTATCTGGTCCTAAACAATTGAAACAGGATTCTGAAGAAGCTATTCAAGTAAATTATATTATTACTTAGTTTTAATTTATTCATTTCATTTATAAACTAAAATTAATTTTTAAATTATTTATAAATGATAATATTTTTAGGAAAGAATATTGAAACGCCAACGTGAGTTCAGTTATATTGAAGCAAGGATACTTATAGAATTGGATCAGCTAGAAGACCGGGAAAAACTTGTCAGATCTAAATTCGATAATAGTGTCAAACTCAGTGGAGAAACTAATGATAATGGTAGTGAGATAGTGGAAAACATTCAGACAAAAGGTAAAATTATGTTTTATTAATTTAATAAAAACAATTGTGTATATTTGACATGTTTGCAGTATAATATTCAACAATTCCAGAGTAAAAAATAGTTAAAAATCAATTAATAATATTATATTATATATTTGATTACTATTTAGTAATTGATTGTGTTAAGTAATTTTTTTTAATATTTAATACGGAGTATTAATTATTATAAATACATTATATTTAATATGATAGTAAAAATATTCATAAAATATTAAACTGTAATTATAACTTTGAATCATTAATCCTAAAATAATGATATGAAAATGTACAACCTTAATTTTCAGGACGTACTGAGGATGAATTATCTAGCCAAAAAATTGTCAAGGGACATGACAAAATCAAAAAAGAAATATCCAGTGACTTGAATATTAAAAATGGACAAAAAAAAAAGAAACCTAAGTCTAAAAGGTCGTCAAGTTCTAATTCATCAAGCAGCAGTAGTGTTAGTAAGAAGAGTGATAATACCGATTATAAAAACAGAAATAAGAAAACTGATAAAATGAAATACAAATCTTCAAACAACAAAACTAAAGCAGAAAGTGTAAAAAGAAACCGAAGATCGCGTTCTAGAAATAGAAGTAGATCTCATTCAATATCAAAGAGTAGTATGTCACGTCCAAGATATAGGAGTAGGTCACGTTCAAGGCATTACGATAGAAGATCTCCTCATAATTTCAGATCAAGAAGAAGTCCATCGCCACTATCACGTCACTCATATTCCAGAAAGTACAAAACCAAACGAAATAGTTCTACTAGTTCAAATGAATCAAGAAGTAAAAAACACCGCTACAGACGATAATTTTCTGGTCAAAATGTAATTTTAAGAGGTTAAAATTCTTAATGATTATTTTATTATTTTATTATTATTATTGACTCATTAAATTAATTATATTTTAGCATTATTTTTTTTTATAATATTTATAATAATAGGTTTAGCTTTTATTAAAGTAAACAGTTTAATTAGGCCAAAAAAAAATTCAATTTTAATTGTTTAATAATGACTGCCAATTAAATTTTTATTAGAAATTTGTAATCTTATCTCAATTATTAAAACAAATATAATTTTGTACATTCATAATATATGTTTTACTTATAAATAATATATCTGTAGACTTTAATTTATTTATTTACAATTAGAAGTTGTATATACAAACTCTTTTTTAAACAAAACAAACAGTAACTCCAAAGTGTTGAGCACTTAAATATTATTAAACTTAGTTTATGTTCCTAAACTAGTTCAATTTTCACTTATAGAACTTGAACTTTGAACTTGAACTTTATTACTTATACAGTTCCTAATACCTCAAAATAAGCTTTTCCCTTATTGTTTTATGTATTTCTGAAACAGAAAAGTCGTAGGTGCAAAAAAATTATTTATTTTGTTTATAACATGGTAAAATTATAAAAATGTATTACTTATTATAAACTTATTATTCTATAATATTATTATCTTTAAAATCTGAATTTTAGTAGAAACTATTTCATTAAAAACCTCTTTAATACTATAAGGTATTTAGAAAACCTTGGTTGAACCAGAGTAGCTAACATAAAGACTGCATTTATTTATCTTTTTTTCCCTGTTGTAAATCGCTAAATGAGAGTGTACCATTAATTACATGCTCTTGTGGCCTCGTGCATGTTGAAATTGCAACTTGACATTACAGTGATAAAATAATAATAAGTATGGCAGAACGCTTCCTTATATTTCAATTGTAAGTCCATAACAATTATTTGAAGATAAATTTTAATGCATCGAAAACATTATTCATCGACTGATAAATTTGAATATTGGTGTACTCGTAAAATATACATACCATTTAAAATGTACTTATTTTTTTATATCCAGAATTTACATTTTTTTCCTGTTAATATCTTCACAAATGCTTAACATTTGTTTTTTTTTTATTATTTAACAATTTCTAGAAAAAAGTTAGTTTTTTCTAAGTACATATAATTGCATGTATTTGAAATAATTTACATTTTTTAGTAATTTATATTAAAAAATGCAGTCATCAAACTAAAATACCGTATTTACTTGAACCTTCCATAATCATAAGAATCTACAGTACTGTGATTTTATTTATAATCATCTAATCATTTGTTAAGCCGTAAGTAATAACTAGTGGAACTGCTAGTGCACCCGCAGGATTAAATCCCACCCGGGGCAAGATAAAAATTATTTATAATCTAATATTAGTTATAGCGATATTGATATTAAAGAACATGCAGTTAAAAATTCCCAGGGGGGGCAATGGCCCCTTTGGCACCCCCCTGCGGGCGCCCATGAGTGGAAGCAAGGCATTAATGTACTCTAAATGTTTAAATTGGTATGATTTTTAAATAATAAAATTAAAACAAGACACAACAATGTCATAAAATAAATGGATATCTACGTAGATAAATTTAATTTTTAAAAAATGTTTTAAAAATCACTAATTTTGACAAAACCAAAATGTATGATACTATGATTATTACATCATGAAATTGTTTTTTAATTAGAAAAATTTATAATTTGGTAAATTTAGTGATTGTAAACAAAAAAACTGTTAAAAATATACTCTTTTCTCAAAATTTAAATGATACCAAGGGCGTCCGAAAAGAATTTGTCAAGGGAAGGCCCAAATATTTTCACTTTTTAAAATTTTTGTTTCACTAGCTTATTAGCGATAAAATATTGATTATGACATGTTTTCTTTCATATAGGTTGGGAATGTAAAAATTATTTATGAATTATACAGAGATAGTTAGTTATAACTTAGGTAGTCTTACAGCATTAATTTTAATTAATTGTTATGTTTTTTTTAAAATTAGAAAATGCATTATTTTTAAGAAATAAAATGTTTTGATACCATTGATTTGATAATTTTAGGTTATTCAGTCATTGATACCCACAAACTTGAAAATTTGAAACTATTATATGCAGTGACAACATTATCTATGTACATTTAATTTTTTATCAAAAAAGTGAAAACTTAGTTGACACTGCAGTAGTGCACCTGGCCCCAACACTATATACATATCATAAATCTATACGTTCTTAGTTCTGATGGTCATAATCGAGTGTAATAATTCGTAAAACCACTAGGAAAAAAAAAAGTTTTTGTTTTTAATTTTAAAAATATTTATTTTTCGATATTTTATATTACATAGGTTATAGGTAGGTACCTAATGATTAAGTTTGAGATTTCGATGTACTTTGCATTGTTTTCTAAGAGATACTCGATTTATAAAATACACAAATAGAATAAAAAGTTTTTACTTTGCATTTTTTGACGTTTTTAAATTATTTTAAAGTCTTTTTTTGTATTTTAGGATCTTTGGTGCATTTTGAAGTTTTTTAAAATTAAAATTTGAAATTTTGTTTTTAACATTGTGCATGCTTTTTATAATTTTTATAATAAATAAACCTTAATCATTAAAACCTTATACTAATCCTATAAAAAAAATGAATAATTAATTTTTCAGATTAATGTGCAAAACGATCAGTTCTGTCTATGAAACTTTTTACAATCCTTAACAATTTAAAAATGAATGATACCACTTTAATACCTAAGTGTTTCTTTTAACTTGTTCTATGAATGTAATTTCAAACAATTTCAGTGAAATACATAGGTACCTACTCAATATTGGTCATGACCTTAATTTAAATGGTATAGACATATTAATTAATTGACCTAACTGAAGAAAACAATTTAGATAACTTAATAATGCCTAAGAGGCTAAGCCTTAAAGATAATTCAACTGCTGGACCATTTAGGTAAACCATCGTTGTTTTTGAAGATTTTTTGTGATGTGCATTGTGCTTGTTAAGTCGTTACATTATCTTTATAATTTATCGTTTTCCACTGGAATTAATTCTTACATTGAACATACTGAATTAAAATTAAACCTAAACAAATTAGTGTTATGATATGAACAATAGTATCTGCCATACTTAATATAAACCAGTGGCGGATTTAGCGTCAGGCAAAGTAGGCAGTTGCCTAGGGCGGTACATTTTTAGGGGCGGCAATTTTAGGTCAATATTTTATTGAGAATACTCTAAGTTTCTTTTTGATTTTCTAATGTACGGTGATTACTCTGAAGGATGGAAAAAAATGTTTAATATTTAAGTATATAAATAATATTCTTGTTAATATAATTTCTTCTTTATTTTATAATACATAACAATAAACGTCCAAGTAAATTATCTAACGACTGCCGGAACGTAGATCTATTATCTAAATACTAAACATGGATAACATATATTTTCGTTAATTTGTTTTTTTGCTAAGTCGTAATAATTATTAATAAGTTCGTTTGATCGCACGGCGTACACCCACTACACGCACAATACATACAGATATGATATATTTAATACGAATAAGGATTAAGGGTGACGATCGATTCGTATTGGAACGATAGTCAGCTAATTATAAACCAGTTACCTACTGTGAATATTTTTATATAATATACTCGTACGTACTATGCATTATGTGTACAAAAATAAAACTTTTTCTATCCAAAAGATAAAATTATGTAATAATTGTTTATTTTTCTTCGAAACTATGAAATAGAGGGCGGCCGAGTAAAAAATAGGTTTATTCTGATTAGACATTCGATTATTTTCAACACAACATTCAAGGCGGATAGACTTCATATTTGGTTATTAGTATACTACTTAAATTACTGGTAAATAAACACTATATTTTATAAATACATTTTATTAGAACAGTTTATTAACATAACTGCCATTAATTATTGTTTAGTTGAGTTCATAAGTCTTTATGATTTATTTTTTTAGTACTTATGTTAAATGAGTATTTAAAAATTCGTTTTCTCGTTTATAAGTTTAATGGGGCGGCAAAAAAAAAATTGCCTAGGGGCGGCAATTGTGTAAATCCGTCTCTGAATTTATAAAAAGCAAGTAAAATATATTACTCGTAAACCTAATCTACATTTCTTTCAAGACTAAAATAGTGGTTGTCTCCTCTCACAGTCAATTTAATAAAATATTTACTTATAATAAAATGTTCTAATTTTATATTACATACACTATACTAAAAACTGTTTGCTTATACTCCTACCCAGTGTTGTAAAGTATTTGAGTAAAAGTATTCAAATACTTTTTTCCGTATTGAATACTTTTGTAAATACTTTTTTTTATTCTTTTAATTCTTAATTTATTTCTTCTTATAATTATTCTTGTTAAATAAAAATACCTTGCCGTTGTGGTTTTTCTTTAACATTAGTTATAACAATATAATATTATATGTTTATCATTTATGCCTTACAGACAATTTGGTTTTCGTCGATTAAATGTTTTTTTCTCCAGGAGACAGTTTATTGTCAACGAAGATCAAAAAGATACATCTGTAGTCAGTATCACTATAAGCTTAAGTCAATAACAAAATATATAATATGTAAAAAGTTTCTGCTTATCGGCTATTATACTTTATACTTTATAATTATTTAATTATACAAAAATATTATTACTAGGTAATTAATAGGTACCTACTATCTATTTGGCAAGAAAATTTTTATCATTCATTTTCATTAGGTATCGTTTATCGTCGACGACAGTATGAGATATCCAAATACATATAGTTTTAAATTAATATATAACTTTGTAGAGAAAAGTTCAAAATGATCAGAATTTTGATTACCTATTGAACAAATCATGTTTTTAAAATGCAATAAAAATTTTTTTGATTATAACAAATTATTTCAGAACTAAAAAGTAAAAAAGACTTACCTTACTTTGAATAATAACTGAAGCGGCAACTCAGGGGGAATATTGTGTATATTTAATTAAGTTTAACAATTCAAATACTGAGAGTACCTTATTTATTTATTAGTTTTATTTAAACAATTCAATTTAATAATTGCACATTAATTATATTTTATTTTTTAAAAATTTAATTTAATGACTGTATATTATATCTTTATATAATTTATCTGGACACCATTGTTGGACATAAAGTTTGACCACAAACCGCATACTGATGAGTTACGAGTGACAATAACGCGAATTGGTGCAACAGAGCCAATAACCACCGTCTTATCTTGATAACGTTTAAATTATTTTTTTTGGTATCAAACACGATTAAAGATATATCTTTAATTGTGGTATCACACAATAACTATAAAAATTACAATGAAATAAATAATAAATAAAGCAGTGCAGTACAATTCAATAGGCAATACATTCAGTATTATTATAACTTATAACAATAACAATTTGGTGAATAATAACATTAGGTAGGTATCTAAAATTATACCATGTCAATCATAAGAGAAACTGGGGGGGGGCAGGGGGATAAGCCCTTGTTATAGCCCTCTCAAAATAAATTATTCAAATCTTTAAAAATTAAACTGTTTTTCTTATTTTTTTTTTTTTTTTTGGAAAAAAATGAAATAATTTGATTTCTTTAATTTTTAACTTTTTTATTATATTGCCTATGATAAATATTATGGTGAATAATAAATATCATATTAAGCTGTATGCTTGTATTTGTTTTAAGGCAACAATTTATGTCGGTATGATGTAAATTATTTTGTATTTAGTAAGATTACTACGCATAATTTTACAGTATACCTATGCACTGAACTATAGTCTATAACATAGAGATAGGTAATAGAGGAATAAAAATTCCCTGGAAAAAATCCCCGACCCTAGGAAAAATAACCCTTAGACTACAATATTACTGACAACCACCTGGGATTTTTAAAACGTAATTAGTGTAATTATTACATTATTAATATTTAATTACAAATATATTACACTATAATTTTAATTAAAAAAAATAATAAGTAATATTCAAAAATTAACAATAATATTGTTTAGTTTTATATCACGATGCAAACAACATATGTTAATAGTTATTTTAAAAGATTACTGATTAGGTACCTACATTCATTCAACTATTTGTTTAATAAATATTTATTTTATTTGATGTATCGATCATTCAAAATATTTTTATTTTATAATCTTTTAATTAGGTATTGTATCTACCTATACTAAGTAAAACTTGTAAAATCCACTTCTAATAATAATCATTATTATTTACATATCGTTAAAATATTATTAGGAAACGTAATATTTTATTTCAGGGATATTATATTATAATATATAATATAAAGGTATAAAGCAAAAAAAAACAATTATTGTTAATGTTTGAATATTATAATATGACTATTAAAAAATAAATAAGTTATAAGTAAATACTTGAGTAAATAAATAATTTTGTTTGTATGATTTTTTTATATTTTTAAGTGAACATATAGAGTGGTGTGGGGGCATCACCTTCACGGGTTACTTTTCATGTAATTCCAAGTGGGGGCTACAGCCCCCCCCCCCAAAAATTTCAGCCATAGTTGTGCCACTGATGTCAATAAAGAAAAGTTATAAACCTGATAAATATATTACATTTATCTTATATTATAAGTAATTGCTTCCATATAATTTGTGTATAATAATATCAAACAATTTTAAACTCATTTGTTTTCAAACTGGTCATGAGAGGATTTAATCTTATTAGTTTCACTAATTAGTTGTATTATAAAATGCTATTTTGTTTATTTATTAATATTCTAATCGTATTATAATATCTTATTAGGGTTACTAATTAGTTGTATTATAAAATTCTATTTTGTTTAACATAGTTTACTGAGTTATTCGCCTTAAATGTTACTTAGCAAAACTAACTAACCGTAAACACTAGCTAGTTTCAAGTCCCTTCCTCTCACAGAAGTCATAGAGAGGACATGTAGAGGACACTGATAAGCATGAGAAACTAGATCTATTTGGTTATGCTAATAAGTAATAAGTAATAAATGTTAACATAATGGATGCTGGTGGGGGGATGAGGAACTCTAGTTATATTAAATATTAAAAACTTTAGGATAGGTACTATAAGTACTATACAATATTAATCATAGACAATGGCCCTAGACGCCAAGGCTATAATATATAAAAAAAAAAATAATATTAATTATTGATTTTAAATACTAAAAATCATTTTTTTTTTGTTTTCAATAAATTTAACATTCTGAATAAATTTAAATAACAGTATTTGAATCATAAATTGGGCATTGTATAGTTGATGAGATTATTGAATAAAAGATTTTACATAGGGGTGAATGTCTGAATGTAGACTGAATGTCTGAATATTCCATATTTGTATACAATTAATTACATTTCTACACAATATATTCAAAATGTATTAAAACTAAAATAATTTTTGACTATAATCACTTTTTTAAAACATAAACGTACAGTTGTAGCATAGTTATTATTAACTACCATAAATTTAAATAGTATTAGTGATAATGAAAACAATAAGATTTAATCTTTCTTTTTATTAGAATTAGAAATTTTTTCTTTTAGTTGAAGTATACTTTGGCGCTGTTCAAGAGGCAACTTTGCAATCTGTGCATCAGTTAACTGTAATACTTGCATTATCAGAGCAGCCTAAAAAAAATCAATTGTGTTTAGCTTATAAGTGTCATATCAACACAATAAAAATATTAATACCTTTTCAGAATCAGATGTTTTAACAATTTGCTTAGGTGCTTGTTGGGGTTGAGGTTGAGAAGACGGAATAATTTTTGGAGGAACTTTTTGTTCTGGCACTATTGGTTGTTGTACAATCATCGGTGGTGGCATGCTCATAAAATTATTATTAGGTCTGTGATCTCTAAACATATCCCCAAATGATCGTTGATCTGAATCCATCGCGGATGTCCGTGGAAAATCTCTTCCAGCCCTTAAATAACATTGCATTGTTAAGAATGATTAGTTAATACTTTATTAGGATATTAATTATTTTAATATTATTTACATAAATGACGGCGAAGGTTCAATATTTGACAACAAAGGTGGCGGCGGTGGGAGGAACGGAATTTGATTTGGTGGTGGCTGCCTTAAATCTTGACTTGTGCTTTGCCCACGATACACATTATTATGTTGCCAATCTATACTATTATCTAAACAAGTTAAATTAATTCAAAAAATTATTTATTTTTGTAAGTGTAATGTTTTTTATTTAACCAGATTAAGAACAATGTGAAATCATAGGATTTAAGTTTTCATAAGGATTTCTCTACTGCATACCATTATTAGGAGTTTGAAGAACTGGCTGAACTCTTGAAGTTGTTGCTGAGGCGTTTGGAATGCGTTGTGTTTGTGGTACTTTATGTGCAGGATGCAACATAGTCTATGAAAAATTCATAATATTACTTATATATACCAACTTACCTATGATTTATTTATTATTTATAGAAGTAACATTTTTATTATTATAATATTAATAAAATGTATTTATTTTATATTACACATATGCAGTGGCGAAGCGTCATACTCTCCACAATAAGACAACGTCTCCCCACTTTTAAATTAGATCACGGGACAAATAATTTTGTTTTATAAAATATTTACAAATTTGAACATCATTTATATTATAAATATGATGTATGTTTCAATATTTTTTAAAATTGGTTTATCGTTGTATAGTTATAGAATTCTAAAAATAGATTAGAAGAAGCGCGATACAGCCATGCGTAAGGCTGGTGATGTGGGTCATTCCAAATATGGTATTATATTAAAGAGACGTTGCCATGCAACATTTCCTAATTATGGCTGCGCGGGTACAAGGGGAATTTTAATGTGAGTGGGGTTTACTATCTACACTTACTATTACGTTCGTATTACCTCAGTCCTCAATTATCAACGTCGTAGTAATAGCCATTTTTTTTTTCACTATCTCCTCAACTAAAAACTCACGTTTCGCCATTGCACATATTGAAACAAATGGTAGAAATAAATAATAATTTTACAAAATTGTATTTGATGGTTATTAAATTATGATCATTAATTAAATCAATTTTAGATATTTAATTAATAAATTATAATTACAGATAACAGTATTAATCAGTAATCAAAATTATTTTTCCACATAATGAATCAACATTATAATTACAGATAACAAATAACAGTATTAATTATTGATTAATTTTCTCATAAATTGTATCCAATTTTGTTAAATATTCATTTATTGACAGTAACAATAATTTAAACTAATACATAAGTAATTTATAATTACTTTAGCAACTTCTGGATCCACAATTTTCATTATAACTTGTGCTTGCAATAATGCATAACCAAGTTGAGGATTCTGGAGCAACATATTTCTAGCTTCTGCAGGATTATTCTAAACATTGAAGATAGTTATTAAAAATTAAATTTTTATTAATTTGTTTATAAATATTACTTGAATACATTCTTTCATTTGTTTCATAAGTTCATACAATTGTTCTGGTGGTAAAGTGGAAACCACATTGTTTATGATCTCTGGTGCTTTTTCTGCATTAACTGCATCACCATAATGACTTTCCGAAGTAGGCATTCCCATCATTAATGCTATAATAGATGTGTATTTAAAATAGGTTTTATTTTAAACAAAATATAAGATAATTATTATGTTTTTTAAAATTACATTGCATTTCTAGTCTGGATTTCTCTGTACAAGCATTGTCAACACGTAGAGTACGACCTCCAATTTCATAGCCATTGAGATTACGCATGGCACTAAGTGCAGTCTCCTGATCTTTATATTCACAAAAACCATAACCCTTAGGTTTACCAGTTTCTCTGTCGTACACCAGTCTATAAGAAAGAATTTGTTTAAATTACGATAAAAACTGATTATACTCTACTTACTTAAATGATATAACTGGTCCTACTTCATTAAATATATCTTTTAGTTTTTCCTCAGTTGCCTCATACGGAATATTTCCAACTGAAATGTTAACAAATTATTATTTTCAATTACTAACTAAAAAACTGTTTAATAAACATACCAAAAACACTTCTCATAGACTTGTCTAAAATGTTTTGTTCAGTCATTTTATTAATATAATATTATTAATATTAAGGTAATATTTGTGATTACTAATTAATGTTGTATTATGATTGCTGTGAAACAATATTGACGATTTAAGAAATTTTTAAATAAACACACACATATATTGTGATGATGCGTTAATTTAGAGTCGAGAAATAGGTATTTAATTTATGATCGTTACGCAAAAACTGATGTAATAAATTCGAATAACCTATCAGTCAACTCGATTCAAACGTACAACAAACTAAGCGTAGGTAGCGTAGGTACATAAATCTGAACGACCAACTAGTCGATTCCAAATTCGCATTATGATGGGTCAATAGTGGTACTGCCGGACCATGGGACGTTTATGATAGCGCGATTTCGATTCTACAGGGTAGCCAGGTGGATCTCTAGGTAGATACTAGATTGATGATATATGCGATTCGTGAATAACAAATGAAATTGCATTCATTTTGTAAAACGTTTCGTATGTGCAAATCTACAAGAACCACAGGTATATGTGGCGAGAACATATTAATGTCTGAGACAATATCATAGACATATTAACAAAATAGACATATTATTAATATGTCTATGGATAATATTTATACACGAGTACCTATAATATATTACGCTCACGTAAACCAATTAGTTTGGATATCGTTAGAATTTTTATGGTTTTTATGGGTAACTTTTGTAAAAATATACTTTTCTCGATGACCGTGACTGTGTAAACAATCATTTCAGCCCCGCCAGCCAAGGAGCTGAACCTTTCGTTATCCCGAGTAAATATTTAATTTTTATTGCAATCCAAATATAACGTACATAATAATCAATATAAACTATAAAGACGATAATGACAATGACAATTAATAGCCTCGACCCAAATGTAATCAAAATCAATTTTGTACCTACATAATGTTTTATTAAATATTTATTGTAACTATCGTTTAATTAACTAATAATTATATTATGATGTATATTATTATGACTTATGAGTATGGAGTACCATGAATTCAGATAATAATATAGGTATAAATGTATTGATGTATATGTCACGGACTTTTATATTATAAATAGTATATAATCATGATAAAATATATTATTATAATATTATATTATATTGTTTTAATTCATTTCAACAGCAGCTTGAACCATAGACTACAATAAAAAATTTAATTTATGTATCTTGGCTTGAACAGCCTGCTTAACGATGATACAAGATGATTCCATTATCATTTATCATTTCGCACCGGTATCGATGACGAAAATTGCGGTGTCAAATGATAAGCAAAATTGTTGGTGATGGCCTGCGGGGCCGTGTGCCGGTGTGGACTGTCGTGGTCTGCGGAATCCAATAATTAACTAATAATTAATGACCTTACAAATACAATAAGAGTGTATCAAAGTCTCTAACAGTGTCAACTACTGTCCAAGTACCGTGTACGTTACAAATATTTCGAGCCGAGTCGATAATATCCGCAATTATAAGACAATCGACTAAAACCACTTGTCATTGATAGGCATTAGGCGATAACCCAGGACGAACGCTGTTGGACATTCGGCATTCTAATCCCGCAGATATTAAAATACTATTATATTACGTAATGTTATTATGTTAATATCATCGGACAATCTACTTTCTCTTTATGACCAGCTCATTAAATGACGACAGTGTTGTTCAACAGTACGTGGAGGCCTGTACTCCGTTGTGTGGTTAAATATTCGACTAAGCGTACAAGGAAAATGGTGAGTTATTAAAGACGATGTTGTATACGGTGTGCAATGTAAACAATATATTATAACATGCAGTGGAGTTGTCAGGATTATGGTACTTGAGGGGGGAGGGTGTATAAGGATAAATTAAATCAAGTTTTTACAGTTTTCGTGTATAATTTACATAAATAATGCATGTATTAGGGGAAAAAGGCTATGGGGGAAGAGGGTTAAGAACCAAAACCCCTAGACCACTGATAATATGTCTTGATAGTTGAGCCCGATCTCTGAGTATAGCTATGGTTGAGTGTGGCTCGAAATCGATAAACCATTTTAGTTTTCTATTTTTGCCACAGTCTTTCATATGTCAATATCTTAAACAATAATTATTCCTCTACCAGAAAGAAAAACATTTAAAATCCCATAAGGGTTTGGGGCGTGGTCAGTACTTAGCGTCATTAAACCAGAAACACTGTGACCATGTTTTCTAGGCCTCAACGTATGGCCATAATAAAAGGGTGGCAGCTCAATAAAATTATCTATATAGGTGCATTTTTTTAAATAGTGGGTTCTTATAACTTGCTGCCCGAGTATTTTACTAGCCAACTGGATATGATCAACTATCGTAAAATGTATTTGTATTTTACATACTATACTTATTTATAACATCAACTGCAGTGTCGGCCTGGCCAAGGCAGCTAGGCAGCAATCGCTGCCTGGGCCCCGTCTTTTTTTTTTTTATATATATATATATATTTAAATGCGGTTGTGACTTGTGGTGCGAGCTAAGTAATATAATAATAGTAAATAAGTAAAAGTGGAATTATTGGGTAAATTGTTTAAAGCACGAACTACTACATAGGACTGGACACTACTGGCAGGGGGGACACACCGGTCACAAAGTTGTACGGGTATGTACGTTTGCGACTGTGGTCTGTGATGCTACCTAGTGACGTACTAGATTTACTGCATATTTTCGTACCTATATAACTAATATGAACGTAATATTTATATTATAATATAGACTTATAAAATAAGAAAAAAAAAAGAAAAACCAATCGATTAACTTAATGAATATTATTTAAATTTTGTTTAATTTCTACTTCAATTTCTATAATGAGTCTGTTGTATCTTTTTATATTATTATACTTCACCAGTGTCGTAAATAGGGGGGAGGCCTCCTAGGCGGCTAGGCCAGAGCCCATAGTGAAATTGCAGGTTAAATTAAAGCATTTCATATTTTCATGTATATTTACACTGTTTATAGTTTTTCGCCATGATTAATTTAGCCGGTTGATTAAAATCGTTTTTGAGGAATCCACAAGGAAATGATTGTATTATTAGGAGTCGATTTTACAAGTTTTACTCATAGATACAATATTTAAAATATTACAAAATAAAAATATTTCGAATAATCGATACAAATTACAAATAATTATCAAACAATAGTTACTGAATGTATTAACCTATATTTTTTTAAAAGAACCATTAACATATTATTTACCTATGTTGTTTTAAATCAAAAACAAAATACCTAATGTTATTGTTAATGTTTGAACACTATTTATTATACAATCATTTTTTTAATGATAGCTATTCCTAAACCTTGTGTTTATTTATAATTAAATATTAACAATGTGGTAATTACATTAATTAGCTTTTAAAAAACATTTAATCAATCAATTTCATGTGATTATGTAAGTACCTAATATTGAAGTCTGGGTGTTTTTTCCTAGAATCAGGGATTTTTATTTCGCAATTCACTGTCTATAATAGGTATTGTATAGTATTATTATAGTTCTGTGCTTTTATTGCAATATTATGTATAATACCGAATTAATTATCGTACCAATATACGGACATAAATCGTTAACTTGCGATGTAGTCTATACTCTATAGATAAAGAAAAATAGAAATTGATTACTCTACGTTTATGTGTAAGTATGTACGTTTATGTATTACTCATTCTGGTATGTACACCAACTTGTATCAAGTTTTTAAATACATAATGCCATTGCCATAAACTCAAGTCACGCGTAAAAGAGTATTTTCCAAGCTAAAAGTAATTAAAACTAAATTAAGATCGCCACTCGATCAGCAGCATTTAGAACCACTAATGCTTTTGGCTTTATAGAAAAAGATATTACTTTAAATGTAGACGAAATAAAACTAATAGATGACAGCAAAATCGTCAAAAGAAATGACAAGACTTTTAATATAATATATTTAATGTATTTATTTTATATATACATAGTTTTTTTATATAAAAGTTGAATACCTGTAAATTTAGAATAAGAGAACAATTTAACTTTTTTTTTAAATTTAAAATGACAAATTTAGAATCTCTTATATACAATGTGTATTACATTTTTATGACCATTTTTCATATTTATGATTCATTTAATTTAATTATAATAAATAAATTTTGTAGTACGGGGGCTTTGGCTCTTCCAAATAAAATCCTGCCTGGGCCCTTTAGAACCAGGCCGACACTGATCAACTGTACCTACCTAAGAGTTTAGGTACATAATTTCTAAAAAATTTTGGTATTATAAACACTTATTTTTTTATAAAGACTACAGCTTCCTGTTGGAGGATTAAAATTATATTAATTATAAGCATCCATTACAAGTTTATGAAAAATTAAATAACAATTAATAATGCAATTAATTTTACTAATAAAATTGAATAACAAATCATGATATCTATTATTTATTTAGCCAAAACATTTATTACTTATTAAAAACCTCATTTAAGAATTTAGCTCAATTGCGGTACAAATAAATCCTATGGTACTAAAAACCCCAATACAAATTGACTTATACTTCATAATTAAAAATGTCCATAATTATTATTGTTGAATAGATAACTAGTTCAACATGTAAAAAATTGTTTAACTATCCAACGTGTAATAAAAAAATACCTAAATTTAAAAAGATATATTTTTTTAAATATTATTTATTATATTTAAAAAATAAACTCACTCTTAATTGAAAAAAATCAGGGAAGTCACTTTTCTGTCAGTGTAGTAGATGTCGAGTACCTATACTTCATCACTAAAATGAATGTGTTAATTTTTTTTGTTTAATGATAAATTCTTGCATACGAAACAACAATTATATATTTATATTATTTAAAACTTACAACAAGTTATAATTCTTTTTTCTAATTGTATAACGGTAGTTTAAATTACATTTTACCAATACATTGAATTTATCATGTTATTAATTATTATATTATAATTATATAATATAATATTAATATTACTTATTAACTTTTAAGTATATACCGACATATGGATATA